CCTCTTGTATTGTATTGTTCATCTAATATCAATAACATATTTTCTCCCGTGCCTTCTCACAGACACTCAAAGAGACATCGTACTGGCTACTATGGCATTCACAGCTATATTAGAAAAAAATGCAATGCGGATGATGCATTCCGAGCAGCTGAGAATGAGAGATGTGTTCCATCTATTGATATTGGTACATCTTCAAGAGCTAATAACAATATAGATGCGGGAAATGTAGAAGAACAAAGTGATCTCCTTTGGATGGGTCTTCGTGATTTGATTGCTAATGAAATTTGTGAAGCTTGATGCTTGTAATTATTTGAATCAATTTAAAAATATATTTGAAGTGTTAGCTTTAACTTATGAAATGTTTCAGAACAAGAAGTTAGAATGCATCATTTTTGTTGTTTCTTATTTATGAAGAACAATGAGCTCATTTCATTTTATGGAAGTTTACTTGGTGGAAAATGTGTGTTCAAGAATTATATTTATAAAATTATCTTAAGTAATCAAATTAAATTATTATTTATTTGCATTAATTCAAAATTAAATATATTGTAGAAATCAGCTCTTTTATAATGTTAAACAACTTTAAGGATATTTCTGTCGTTTTAATAGAAAAAAGTGCTTACCGGCACTTGTTTACCAAACACTTCAACAATTTTTTTTATGTTTCAGCACTTTTATCCAAACAGGTAACTGGTTATTTATAAAACAAGCTCCGGTACTTAAAAGCTGCTTTTAAGCACTTGTGCTAATAAGCTACTTTTTTCCAGCTAATCCAAACGGGCTCTAAGTAATTTCGTTGGTCAAAATAAAATGACTTTTAAGCTAAAAACGGAGAAGTTAGGTTCAGCCAACTTTTGGCTTTTTTTAAGCAGTTTTTTCTTTTGCCAAACACTCCAAAAAGCTAAAAAGTGCTTAATAGCTGGTTTGACTAGCTTTTAAGCCAATCCAAACGGGCTCTTAATATCCATTTTAAGCTGTTATGCTTAGGAAATGGGACTAATAAATGAATTAAGAAAATATCTTATATGGTCCTCCGTCCTCGTTTGTTGTCTTATTAAAGTGTACACCGCTATGTTCTTTTATTTTCTGTGGTTGCATCTTTAGCCTATCCTGAAAACACATGATTTTCTTTCAGGGTATTCCTGAACAAGCCGAAATTCCGCCTGTTGCCCCTACAGCTGCTGCTCCTGCCAGCGGACAGGCTGTAAACCCTTCAGCGCAAGAGGCTTCACTACCCACAGTTCCTTCCAGTGGGCCAAATGCTAATCCTTTGGATCTGTTTCCTCAGGTAGTAAGTATACCTGGAAGGTTAAATTTGCTTACTTATTGTTCGTTCTGGCCTTATCCTAAATTTGTATTTACCCAATCAGGGTCTACCAAATGTGGGTTCAAATGCCGGTTCTGGAAATTTGGATTTTCTACGCAATAGTCCACAGGTGGGTTATACACTTTCTCCAAAATAGATTATATAAATTTGAAAGCATAATTTTATATCCTTCTCCATTAACAGTTCCAGGCCCTTCGAGCAATGGTTCAAGCCAATCCACAAATCTTGCAGGTATTGGATTATACATGCTATGACTAATTGTTTGTTTGCTCCAAGTACTTTCAGACTTGCTAGAACCATGACATTTGTTTATCTGCAGCCTATGCTCCAGGAGTTGGGTAAGCAAAATCCGCATTTGATGCGGCTTATTCAAGAGCATCAACCCGACTTCCTGCGCCTCATCAATGAACCTGTTGAAGGGGAGGGGTGAGAACATCTGTTATTACCCGCCTAAACTGTTTTTCTGCATTTTAGAGCTTGTTCTATATGTGTCTTAGTCAATCTATTCTAGATCCTTTCTTTACCATCTTGAGCATGTATGCAAGACTGATTTTCTCACTATATGGTGTATCAAGGAATGCGCTCGGGCAGATGGCAGGAGCAATACCACAAGCGGTGACTGTTACACCTGAAGAGCGTGAGGCTATTGAACGTGTAAGTTATTTAGTTATCCTTTAGCTTTCATCAAATAAGTCGTCAATGGTAGACCTTATTTCATAATAGAATCTAGAAGGTTAAAATGTCACGGGGAACTTAAATGGGTAATTAACTGTTGCAAATGTTTTGACGTAACACTAGGCCATATTGAGAGTTGGGTTTTGAATTGTGTCACAATCATTCTGAGAAAGATTGCATTTGCAATTATTGATGTTTTAATGCGAATGTTTTTACTTTGATAGCTGAAAATGCTGATGGACCAGCTATGCAAGATATATAGTCAGCTAATATAAATTTCATGTATTGTCTATTACGGTTAGTGATATTATTTTGGCAGCTTGAAGCTATGGGGTTTGATCGAGCTTTAGTATTGGAAGTATACTTTGCGTGCAACAAAAATGAGGAGCTGGCTGCAAACTATCTATTAGATCACATGCATGAGTTTGACGAATGACATGGATTGAACTGGGTGCTATTTGACCTGTTATAGTTTCCATTATACGTTGTTTTTCTTCTCTTCATTTTAAATGTGTGTGACTTCCTTCCTATATATCTTGCCGTGTGGAGTACATTTTATTTCCTCATTCCCAGTGGCAAATCTTGGATACTCGGACCCTTTTGTATAATGGATATTATATCAGTAAAATCGTGCCCTAAAGTTAGACTAGGTACTTTTTTCCCAGTTGCCAAATCGGCTCTTGCCTTACCTCGGTATCTTTTGTGCTTAATTTACAGAATGTCCCTTGTAGAAAAAAATATCATCGTCTCAAATGCTGATAGCTACTTAACTAATTGGCTGGGACATGAGACCACAATACTATTATTCCTACTTCCGGGGCAAGGAAGGTGTACGAGAATTCGCTCCCCTTAAACAGATAGAATTCTCTCGTACATAAATAACCTTTTACTAAAGTGAAAGGAGAAAAACATTGGTGGATAATTTACTATTTAGTCCTTTTTCTTAACTATCCAATCAAATGTATAAACGTTAAACGAAATAGAATGTTCTCGTTTACAGAATATGGTGAGATAACAAGAGCATCTCTATTGCCTTTAACAATCAAATTTCTTTGTTTTTCTCAACTTCTTAATCAAAGAACTACTATGGAAGACAAGCTGGTCTCCACGGAAAGTGGCATTATTGTGGTCCTTTTTTATCTCGTCTGTTCTTCTGTTGCTTTTCACAAAGTGGGAATGTTGTTACATCCACTGTCTTTCCCGTTATGTCAAATTTTATTGCTTAAAAGTTTGACGGAAACTATTGAAACCAACTTATCTCACTTTAAACTTTTAGTAATGTGCATCTAAAGTGAATGGTTGCAAGTTTCAATTTAAACGTATATCGCAACACAGACCAATATTTTCCTGCTTAATGGCCACTCCAGCGGAAAAAGAAGACATCATTAAATAGTTTTGGCTGTGCATTCGAAATTTTAGATACCTGGTTAGATTTTTTAGTCCCATTGGTTGCTTTTTACATGGTTCTTATCATAAAATAATTTTCTAGAACATTTATTTTCTGAGTGAAGAAAGAAAAATGTAACTGGAAAAGTGAAAAGTTGAAAAAAGAACGATACCAATGATGCTGAACAAGTCAGCACGAAATAGCTGTTGGATTAGTTAATAAACATGAAAACGTCTTAATCAAAAAATAAACAGGAAAAAGTGTAAAAAGGCTGCCAGGTCTTTCTAGCACTCGCCTGTTCTTTAATAGTAGTAGTTTTAGTTTATCAAATGGAAGGCTATCGAATTGAAGTATTTGACATGTTCCACAACAGCCGTCGATCATCCATGAATTGAACAATGTCGTTGACAACTTCAAAGGTTGGAATAATAGAGTCTAATACGTTATCAAACAAAGGGAATTAAGATATCAACTTGTCCACAACAGCTGCTTCTCCTAAATAAGACTCCTTCAATTTGCATGTGTGCGTGCTCGCTTATATATAAACAAGCTTTCACTCCATCAGCAGCCTATCTCAAGAGCTTCATACAAACGAAACAAAGAACAAACATGGGACTTTTTGGAAGAAAATTCAAGGCATCAAGAGTTACAACACTGTCTAACCTTGCCATCTCAAGGATTGCCATTCTCAAAAATCAACACCAAGTTAGGTGCTCACTTACCCGTTCTGACGTTATCCAACTACTCCATCTTGGTCGCCAAGAAGATGCCCTTCATCGAGTAGGTTCTAATGATATACCCTACTCCCCCTTTCTTGCATGATGGTTTCTTCTCAAGGCTCAAGCAATTCAACTTCTCATCAATTTTACTTCACAGGTCGAACATGTTATCAAGGAACAGAACACACTAGATGCACTTGCAATGATGGAAATCTACTGCCATCTCCTAATCGAAAAAAGGGTGCTGATACAAACTAAAGGGTGAGTACTTCTCCTATCTTATCGAGATCTACAACTAGATTGGGCCTCTCTCGGATGGCTATCCACTACTAGAAGAATCCTACCTCCTTTTTTTACAATGCTTGACGATGTACCCGCCAATTTTTAAACAGGCAATGTCCTGAGGAGCTCGCAGAGGCAATCTCAAGCTTGATTTTTGCAGCTTCAAGATGGGGAGAATTCCCAGAGCTGCATGAACTTCGAGAGATTTTCACCTCGAGATATGGGAATGAATTTGCGGCTCAATGTGTTGAATTAAGAAATAATTGTAGCGTGCATCCTAAGGTAGGAGCTGAATGATGTGCACTTTATCCCCCTGCCCCTAAAATCTACAGGAGATTGACTTCTCAAACTAATCTGATCATGACATTTCTCCAGATGATACCCAAGCTATCGAAACGTCATACAGGATCAGGGAAAAGAAGGAATATGCTTCATGATATTGCGGCCCATTGTGGTGTCACTCTGTGTGCAGAGGATGAAGAAACTTCAGATATCATAATCGAAGTTAAGGTTAACAGCAAAGAGGAATGTTCTCAAGGTACTTTTTTTTAAAGAACTATTTTAATGGCAATCACTAATTATGATTGAAACTTCAAATGGCCTGAGATTTCTTACTATTATAGGTGAAGAGGGAGGCACAGAAGCAGCTTCAGTGATCATATTGGAGAAAAGTCAGATAGTATGAAATGCCTGTTGCTTCTCTATCAGCAGCACTACCAGCAAGAATTGTTTGGATCTATCCAAGCCTAATAAGAGCAAGGATTAAGGCATGGTTGACTGCCAAGCATCTTTGCAATCATGCAACCATACATTTTCAGTAGGGACAGAGTCGTGAAGAGATGCCACAGGGCCCAGAAAGAAAAAAGCAGCATCAGACAAGGTTCCTAGGGAAACATCAATAGAGCAGCTGCATGCGACAGAAGCTATTCAGGGATGAACTACTAGCTCCAATCATCTTATTCATTGGTGCTACATTGAGCACCTAGCTTTCTTCATATTATTTTTCTTAGGATCGGAACTTGCTTTGGGGGGGGGGGATCTTAGCTTTATGTTTAAACTAGATCATTTCTGCAGACAGACATACTTTAGATATAGATCAGTAAACAATCACATTCGTTCTGCAGACTTAGAGTTGAGATAATACCTTTATTACATTCTCATCTTTTGTTTGGCGCATCAGAATTGACGTCTAGTTATCCTTCTTAACATGAGAGTATTACACAATGATTACAATCAATTGGAACATAAGTGAATCAAATAGCAAGTTTTGGATAAAGAAAATGCAATTAGATTTTCTCCAATCAGATAAGTAACATCATGAAATTTTGAAAGATAGTTAAGTTTGTGAGAGCAGAGCGTCTATCGGAAAGAACCTCTCTACCTTTATAAGGTAGGGGTAAGGTCTGCGTACACACTACCCTCCCCAGACCCCACTTATGGGATTAGGGTTTGATGTTAGTTAAGTTTGTAAGAGTTCCTCAGATGGGGATCTCATGTAGGAAATAGATCATAATGAAATCCAAAAGAACAGAAGCAAGATTCACAATTAGATGTTTCACGCAAACAGTTTCTTCATTTAAGATCTAAGCAACATATTACAAGTACTTGGTGAATAGTGAATACAAGTTTAAGGCTCGCTGATTTTACTAATGTTGATTGTAAATAGAAGATGTAATTGCACCTAAAATGGCCAAGAGAAACTCTTCTTCCTTCCTTTTTGATGATTTTAAATTTTAAAACTGAATCAGTCAGTAATATTAATTGAAATAGAGCAAATTTCAGAAGTTCTGAAACAAGCATCGACCACATTCAGCTTACAAAACAACCAGTACAACTATAAAAGAACCCTATCACCAATAGGTGACCATACTACTTACACCAAAACAGAACCCTAATAAAAAGCAAAACAAAAAGTTACAGGAGGCAACAGGTAATCTTATCTGTTATCACTAATATAATCAGCAACAGCGGTTACAGCCAAATTTATAAATTAATATAAATTTATCCTTGTGTGTTTCATATTAATCTTCATGAAGTAGAATTAAAACCAGCAGTAACCACATAGGAAAAAAGAAATCATCTTGGGATTACAAAAACTCTGTAACATCATCAATTACAAGGTCTAAATTGCAATTCATAATATGAAAAGAATTGAGGAAATCTACAAGAATCAATTGCACACGATTGACTAACATTTTAAGTGATTTTTTTTAATAGGTACTAACCTTTTTAAGTGAAATAAGTTACAACAAACAGAATTATGACATTCAGTGGCAGCAAGATAAATCTTGTTCGATGACAGCTTACGCTAAATCACCACCACTCTGTTGCCACAAATTGATGATATCAGTGGCCTGGTTAAGAAGAATGATCATCTGCTTCTGGGATATCCAGGGCTTACTATCCAGCAAAACTTTAAGCTCCTCCCAAGCATCTTTTCTAGGCCAGAAATAATAAGGGCTCACAGGAACTGTACCATGACCAGGAATTACCTGGTCCAGCGCAATTCCAATGTTCTTGTCCATCCAAATAAACTTCAACACTATCCTAGGTTTCTCCATTGGCTTCACCATCACCCCGAGTTTATGTACATCCTACAGATTGTAACAGTTATAACAACAATACCAAGAGCAGCAAAATGAATCATACTAGATTATACTACTTATAAGATATATACATATATATTATACACACGCACACACAATGTGTGTGTTCACTCTGTCCCCTCAAAATTGGCACATTTTATAGTTAGAAAAAAGTTAATTTTCACATTCACATTTTGACATAGACATAAGCTGTTGAAGGTCCAACTGATTGCAAAAACAAATTGTTTGGTACAAGAATATATATGGTGATTTATGCAGACATAACTTTATGATTTCAAAGTCATCATCTTTTCGTCCATTCAAACAATGCCAAGCAATTTCAGATGAAGTATGTGTATCTAGAGAGAGAGAGAGAGAGAGAGAGAGAGACCTCTTTCTGAAGGAGAGCTGAGGGGGCAGAACCATCAGCTGAGGTTTCTTCCGCAAAAGCTACGGCACCGGCAGCTTTGGAAGCAAAAACGCCAAGATTTCTTTTGGGGTTCAAGGCAGAGATATGGAATGACGGAGAATATGAGCGGGGCTTGGGAAAGATGATATTTTTGGATGGAAAAAGATTGTGAGAAGAAAACGCACAGTGAGCCAAGTTTACTTTGGAATGTGTTGCTACTGATAACATCATCTTTAGTCTTGACCGCTTTTATCTGTTGATCAGTAAGTTTCAGACAGAGAGAAAGAGAGAGTGGAAACCTCTGGTTGAGACTTGGGAATTCTGGATAAGAGAGCTCAGTTTCCCTTCTACCACAATGACAACCTAAAGTACCTAACTGAAGCGCAATACTTTGCAATATTTCGATTTAGATTGTAGTCTTTTGAGAACTGCATTTTTGTTTCTCTTATAAAAAGAATTCGAATAGGCATGGCAAGTTAAATAAGAGGGTGTTCGGATTGGCTTAAAGTAGCTTATCAGCTAAAAAAACAAAAGTAATAAGTTGTTAATACCCAATTTGTCTTTTGGCTTATTTTTGTACTTTTTATACCAAAAAATAAATATTTTTGAGCATTTTTTATCATTGTCAAACACCACAAAAACTAAAAAAGTCCTTAAAAGCCAATAAATACTTAAAATAAGTCAATCCAAATACCCTCTAATACTAATATTATTATAAACTTTCTCCCTACAATTAGTGACGGCTATTAACATATTTCATCATCTGGATAATACCGTAAAAATAGCACGGACTAGCCAGTTTTCAGACTGGTAATTTAAAAATAGCCGACATTTGAAAAGTAATTGAAAAATAGCCACTATTTTACTGCAACACGGACCGGTCCAGCATAATATACTGGAGATTGACGCACTTGTGTATGAACTTCCAACATATTATGCTGGAAGTCCAACACGCGAAAAGTTCCAGTATAATATACTGGAGATTGGAGCACCTGCGTATGAACTTTCAGCATATTATGCTGAACCGGTATATTATACTGGAACTCCAGTATATTATACTAGAATATTTTCTGAATTTTGAACAGTGTTTACATTCAAATTTATCTTTACATGAAACATGGCTAACTTTCGATTCATTTTGAAACTGTAGCTATTTTTCAATTACCCCTTATAAATCTAGCTATTTTTGAATTTCTCCCGATAATACCTGTTACTCCCAAAAATTTCTCAACATCCAATAAGCGTGCGTTACAATTTAACTTGTAACCTTGACCACCCTATCTCTAAAGAAAATGATTGTTAATCACTCTCCAAACTATGCTTCATATATCTTCATTCTTAATCAAATAAAAGAATCTGTCAAGTAGTCTTAAGCTTGAAAATAGGAAGAGGAGAATGACCAAATAGTAGATCAATTATACAATTTAGCCAAATCCTCCTACATTTCTTATCATGCTAAAGAAATCAACCAAGCCAATTGAAAATATTGAGATACTTTCTATCGGTTCAATCTTATTTCTTTTATGCCTCTGGATTCCTGCCAGAGAAATACATCTTCAAAATCTCTTAATCTCACACAGACAAAATACTCATATCATAAATAATCTCCCCCAACATAAATGCTGCACCATACTGAGGTTTGCTCTCGATTTAGAGCTCCTATTGGAAACTCCATATTGAACTTATTCCAACAAGCAGATAAAAACCCTCTCCAAATTGATAAGAGACCTCATCCTTGGGAATAACTGACTTGTCTTACTAGTGACTGTTCTCTCAATAGGCCAGCTTCTTTCTGAGAACACTAGAAACAAATTTCACTAACGAATATGGTTTAAAAGAATCATGTAGAAATAAGATGACTGAGAAGGGCACGGTTTTTTGGCTAATCATCCCTAGATTTTAAGGTGAAACTGGAAAAAATACCAAGGAGTGCTCAAGACCATGCTTCAACATGATACTTGCCTGCCTTTTCCAATGCCCTAAGCCACCTTACTGCAGCTTCTTTTGGAACCCCGCCTTCTTTAGATACAATTTCTTCAAATGCCAACAGCACATCAGAAGGCATTTTGTTGGCAGAGCCTGCGACATACACAGCTGCACCCTCAGTTAATAGATTCCATATCTTAACGCTTTGTTCTCTCATTTTATGTTGCACGTAGATTTTCTGTGGTCGGTCTCTGGAAAAGGCAGCAAAAAAGCCTCCACCTTTTTCTTCAGAAAGGACTCCACCTTTTTGTGAATGAAACAACCAAAAATCTCGGTACAAAAAGTCATTTTCTTCATTTCTACAACCAAAGAAGAAAAGAAGGGGAGCAGTTGGACCCGATTGACTCTGCAGGGCTCTTTCCTCCACAAATCCACGAAAAGGTGCACATCCTGTGCCAGGTCCAACAACAATAACCGGAAGTGAAGGCGGAGGGGCAGGAAGAGAACCCTTTTGAAACCAAGCCGGTACGAGGACTCCTGTTTAGCATAATCCAAAAACCATCATCAGAGAGCTACAAGAGGTGCATGAGTAAATGAATGAGGCATTTTAATTATAAATTACTCCAAAAACCATACTTTTCTGAGGATCAACTCCAGCTAGCCATGATGAGCAAAGACCTGCACGCTTCCTCTTATAAGGTGTTGTCCATGACACAACACTAACTGTTAAATGTACTTGATTTGGATGAACTGAGTGAGAAGAAGAGATGGAAAAAGCCCTAGTTTTAAGTGGAGGTACCAACTGAACCAACCATTCAAATGGCATCTGAACGGATGGAAAATCCTCTAATACCTGCATTGCAATATGGAAAGTATAAAAATCAAACAACGAAAGAAAATGAGATATTAACAGTAGAAACAGTTTTTTCCGAAGAAGGTAACAGATAACAGCAGAAACGGTTTTACAGTTCATTTCCAAATTATCTCCTGTGAATCAATAACTTAACCATAAAACGGCATTATTAGTTAACCATAAAAAGGCATTATTGGTTAATAGAAGGATCATTCCATAGGAGAAGACCAGGGGCCTCCATAATTTCAAAAAGCAAAAAATTTAGAATTCTGTAGCTTGCTAAACGTAGTGTTGGTAACCTAACTAAGGTATCAAGCTTCTATTGCTTACAAGTAAAAGGACTAGTGCAAGATACTCACTTACAGATTTCACATTTATAGAGACTAGTTTTCTAATTTGACAATCAAGATGCTGTAATGTGAACGTATGACAGAGTTGGTGTTGGCTAACCAGTTTCACTTCCAAAAGAACTGGGCCAACTTCTTGCGTCTTAGTATGTCTTCTTAAACTATGGTACCTATACATTTCATGAAACAAAAATCTACCATAAGAGAAACCATATTATTGAAGAATCCAACAATAAAGGAAAATGTCAGTGACCACTCAAAGGCAACTTCATTAATCTATACAAAGAGTGGAAATATTTTCATCACCTCCAGTACAGTTCTCCGTTCCTTCTGATTGTACTCATAAAGATCATCTCTTCCTTCTGGAGAGGCAAAATATTGAAGCCTCTCCTTCTCATGTTCGGCAGTGGCAAAATAACTCATAACCTGAAGAAATGAACGATCCAAATGGCTTATTAAATTACTCTGATATGTGGTGATCATGCATAACGTGCTACTACACAAGCAGAACAAGGAAGATGAACACAACATGCATCAGTGAAGTACAGGCAAATAATAAAGACAACAGCAGAAAATATCAAATATACCATGTCATCGGATATTACTGTTTGAAAGACAAGAAATTCACACACTCCATTGTCTTACCTCAAAGAAATATCGTCTAGGGGAAGCTGATGCAACATCCATTGCCAGTTCCACAAAAGTTTTTAATCTTATGGGGACCTTCAATGTATTTCTCAAGTCATGACTTTGTCCATTTTCTTTATTATCTCTAGGCTCAACCTGAAAAAAAGTTCATATTAGTAATATAAGAATTCAAGAGTTGATACATGATAAATTTGCCCTTTCAATTGATGTAATAGCCAACACTGCAGATCCAAAGCTCACCACAAAGAAGGTATAAAAGAAAAGAGACAACAAATCTCAAATTCGACATTGTAAAACAGATTTGTATACATGTTCTCGTTAACTAAACCAAAGCAAATGAGCTTCAGGTACTTCAATGCTTTTACTAACAAGGCCTTGATTCTGGTGCTCAGGAACTTNCCCCCCCAAACCCCCCTTATATCAGCTCTCCTACAAGGGAGGTCTTGGTGGTGCCTCTGTTGTAACAGTTTTTGCTGCTGCTTACCTATCTATTTTTGATTTCTTCAACTTTAAAGAGGTTCCATCTCATGGGAGCCCAATAATGGTTCTTTCCCACTTGCTCCCTTGGTTACAGAACCCAACTTAGAGGTGGAGGGTCTTTACCACTAGGGTATCCCTCCCATCCTAAAGCTTTGCAATACTTGTACACTTCTCCTTCCAGAGACACTTAACAATTCAGAGTACTTTTCAATCCACATGATAATTTTTTTTATTAGGACAATAGACCCATATTAACATGGAAATGTAAACCATACGAATCATGTTCCACGGAAATTTTACACAATAATAACCTTCAAAGATGCATGAACACAAAATAATATCTAGGAGGAAGATTTGAAGATTAGCAGGGTCCTAGTGACAACAAGAGAGTCAACTGTCAAGAACGTAAGACAAGTACATACTCTGATGTATGATTCAGGGTTCAAATTACAGCGCTTTATGAAAGCATCAACTGCTGCAGCATCTTGCCCAGGGAGAATATGAACAACATCACCAACCTCATACTCAATAGACTGATATTACAAAGGAAATCATTAGATGTATTGTATAAAGTGAAGGAGTAAAAGAGATATAAGAATGTACAACTTGACTTACAGATGAAATAGCTTCAAGTTCAAAATGGCGGACATCTTTTCCACAATCAGCTTTACTTAATGGATCATTTTTACCCTACATCAATAGAGTTAATAAGAAAAACATGTCAATGCCTAGATCACAACCATCGCATTGACGAGAAGAATGATCTTACACCTCCAAGTAAGATCATAAAAGCAGCCTTTCTGAAAATGCACAATATACGCCAGTGCTTTGTAGAATAGAGGACTCATTTCAGAAACTGTTCTTCTAGTTATGATACATTCACATCTCATTTCTGTGGAAGCTTAGAGATGTTCAGTATATGTGCTACTTCTAGTGAGATACTATCAATTTGTCACATCACTTAACTTCCACTATCGACTTTCCTGGTTAAGGACACGAATAGATGCGTTTAAGTAATGAACTCCACTTTTGCTTGGTATAAACCACAAGTGGATCCACAACCGAACTCCCTGATTCAGAGGGAAGGAGTTCCTTAACTTTTGCAGGCAACAGCTCCATTGCATGCCCTGACACATAACAAAAGAAATGTAAATGGAGATCACCTACCATCTTTAAGAAGCAATCAGGTGGGTGCTTT